ATATATATAATATGAGCAGAATCAAGTCAGTATTCATTCAGGCTCTCGGCAGTTGCAATTTGTGGGAATATTAAAACGACGGAATACGAGGGTACTTTTAGAATCAAAAGAGGGTATTTCTGTTCAGCATGGGGTAGCAGAAGTTACCGAGTGACTGGGAAACAGGAAGTTAAGGACGATATTTTTGTTTGTTTGGTCAGTTTTATTCTTTTTCTTGCCACTTTACTATTTCAGACATCAACTTAACGTCAGGCGGCACCTCTTCCTTAAGTCGTGCTACAAAACTGCCTCATGCTTTGACCTCCGGTTCCACTCGATCATTCACCCGTGAATCATCCAACCTATCTGTCAATCTCCAACTTCCCTCTTCTGTGACTGGCCTCCAGCCCACACAGGACACCTCGGCAGTCACTCAGAGTAAAGCCAACTCTCTAGATCGACCGCCCGCACGCTCAGGTGCTGATGCCACCAATCGACTCTCGGGACATTATCCTCTCGAAGTGGTCCCGTTCACCACGTTTTTGAACTCCCTGTACATTTCTCCGAAGGTGCTAAATCTCGCCGGAAAACATGGATCTTCTCGAGTAGGTCTCTTTTCCGACTGCGACCATATTCGCCATCCCAACCCTCATAATCTTTTTCTCTCGCTACTTTCCACAGGCTCGCAATTTGTCCTGCTTCATCGAGCTTCGCTCCGCGGATGATTTGCAACCTTCGTCCGCCCTAAAGGTATGTCACGTTCGTATGTTTACCCCAATGACTACTTACTCACTTCCTCTTGGTTCGGTTCTCTACTCTGCCTGTCTCTCTGTGTACCTCGCAGACCAGCCGTGTTCTGAAAAAAAAGAAGGACATCTCTTTTCCGTGTCTCTTTTTTTTGCAGTTATCTTACACAGATTTTCATGACGCACGTTGGCAACCAAGTTGAACACGGGTATTCTAGTTACGATAAATCCAACAATATATATTTAAGAATGATCCATTACCCTCTTTCGGTGCCTATTATGTCGAATTGACTCAGTCGTCAAGACGTAAACGTAGCAACCAGAAGGTCCGCGTGGTTCGAGCCCAACTCCTACATCTCAATTGCTTCTGTCTGGGCTTGAGCAAGCTGACAATATCTCGACCCTTGTGCTCCTTTCGGTTGGCATGGCAACCACATATGGGAAGGGAGTTACATCTAAACGATTGCTATTATTTGTAATGTACTACTCATAAGGTTGCTGAAAAGCCGTCGACAGCCCACGACCGGTTTCGCCCTTCTTGGGGTTCATCAGGTAGGCGCAGTCTCCGGGTTCCCGTCAACCTTATGCCCTAATTGAAACCAAACATTATTGTGACTAAATGACCTCAACTTCAACGCAGGCACATGGGGCTGTCACATCTTGATCAGCTGAAGAGCCTCTTAAGGACTGACTGCACACCAGTCAGTCCTCGTTTCTTCATTCCAATGTGATTGATTTACTCATAATAAAAGTTGGAGGCATTGCTAGGAACACTGGTTTGGCAGAAAAAACTCTAACACTAGTGTTGTGTTCCTTACACTGCTGATCAACCTGAACAGTTGTCGCACGTAGCCCACAATCTCTTAGATTTCGGTAGTATTGAATTTTAGAACAAAGCATCGTTAGCACACTCGCTTGTTTGGAATATAGCTGTTGTGTTCTCTTCTGTGAGTCTTTTTTCCGGCATTAGGCACTGGAGTAGGTCAACAGCAGATACCACAAGTTGACGAATCAGCAGATACGAGTTCTATCCGTCTTCAGCAACCTTATGAGTAGGACATTACGTCTATTCTATCGGCTGGCTTTGTGGGGAGTAGTTATGTCTTTCCTGTGATGGGCGATTCCAAGAACTCTTACCCGATGGTAAGTGTTATGTAGCTTCCATCACGTGACGCATAAGGTCCACTGAACAGTTCACTGTGTGTTTCACTCTTCTCGGGTCTCCTCAAGTAAGCCTAGTTTTTTTCAAGTTTCATCCCCTTCATTTCTCCCTCGAACGCCAAGTTGGACTTAAGCTCTTGGGAATGCTCATTTGCAAAGTAAGTTGGTGTTTACAGGACACTCAGCAGTGAGAATTTCTTCAACTGCGTGCGCTGCACAAAGACCGCTCCATGTTTCAGCCGGTACCAAAATACAAAGCGGAGGTTTTGATAAAAACTGTTTTGCGGAACAACTATCCATGTCGTTCAAGAGAATCATTGGTTATTATGCTAAATCTCTCGTCTGTGCTACTCTTCTGCTGAATGTGCGGACCGTCTCGTGTTTCAGCTAGACATTACTCGAGCTGGAGGTAGCCCACAGAGGAAGTCGAGGGGCAGGGGTCGGGTTTGAACCACAGATCTTGCGATCAGTGGATTTGCGCTCTAACCATTGAGCCGTCTCGCCCCCTGCTTTAAAAAAAGACGGAAGATGCTGTTGAGGTCCAGCTGAGGCTCCCGTGAAGACCAGTTGAATTTTCGAATGACAATTTCAGTGCCAAATGTCAAAACGGTATGGTTTGGGTTTGTTGGACTGATAATTACACTAACGAATATATTATCAAGACCAATACAAATGAGAGATTCGTTCGTATTCAGTTGAATCTCTCGTCAAAACCAAATTTGTTTGCAACTGAGCGTTGTTTGCGAATAGTGCCAAGGAACTACTCACTCAACGAACTCATATTCGCTTCTAAAGTTCAGTAGAGTCGAAAGGCGGTCATCATTTGCGGGAAGTCTGGATGGTTTGTAGTCGTTCGGTCCAGGGCAATGCCAATGATAAATCGACTGTATTTCACATCATTTCGTACTGAAACACAGATGTCCTTCGTAGACCCATAGGTTGACCAGAGTGCCCTCTTTGTTCTCGTCTGTCTCCCGGTAAAAACTCTTGGCGGTCCAATCTTTATCACTATGTGACTCATCTTGTGGACGTATTCTGAACGTCATGGGTGTGTCTCAAATTATGCATTCATTGCCCTTTATCAGATTGAGTTAGGTCCATCTGACCTGACGGTCATGTGCTTCGACTACACACGTCACTTGGTCTAACGATTCCGGCAATCCATAATTATTCAGGGTTATGCTAGGCATGATTTTCAAGGATTTCCTCGCACCTAATCACCGCCTATTCGCCCTGCCCTCTATGCAAACATTTGTGTCCTTGCCGTTCGACATCTTGGGTAGTTTTTAGAAAGATGAGTTTCCCCCGTAATTTAATTTTCCGTGAGAAAATGATGCTGAATGAGGATGATATTGGGGCTAATTCAAACCAATCGTCTAATTAACAGCGCACTGAAGATGTCTCCTCGAATGGTGACGAAGCGTTTACAAATCAATTGCCAAGCTCGGCGAACAGATCAACAGCCACCTGATCAATTACCAACTAACTTTCTGTTATGTTTCCATCAGTTCTTATCTCGAAAAAAAAAACGTTTTCCTGGTCCCTTGACTGCTTTGGTTCTTCTGGATTGTTCTAACAACATCAACTACTTTACTGTGCTTTATATCCACCTTGTTTCGCTCAGCGCCTTCAAAAGGCTGCGATACCGCTTTTTGGTTTTATTCTATTCCCCTTGAACCTGGTTGTCTCCTTAGACGGCGTGGTAGGCTTCGGGTCGCCTATTTGATTCGCTCATACCAGTGTTGAGCAATGTCACACTGTGGTTGATCAAGTGACAAACGCAATGTAAGCCTCAGTCACGTGACATTAGAGTTTTCACTTAAGTCGTGGGTAAAGTGAGCGCACAAAATCCAACCCCACTGGCGAAAAGGAATGACTGTAGGGGTTTGGCAGCGACTGATTGTACTTTGTGTGCCCAGTATACCGGGCGGAGACCCGAGGACATTCTTTTTTCGCAATCGTTTTGCTAAAACAAACGGTCGCCTACATTCGGTACTAGCGAACACGGCAGGTTGACCGCAGCATAGCAACACAGATGGGAGATGTGCCCACCCACCATGTTCAGTTGTCAGTAATCCCAGAACTTGTTGTTTCTGTCCAGTTCTACGTTGAACTGACTGCAGCGGTGTTCCGACTTCCAGCATGGCTTACACTCGTAACGCAGTGGTAGGAAATGTGTCCAGCAACCTTGTGAGTAGTTTTCCTTCGGGAACTGAAAGTTTGCGGCCTCGAATCTTCTTTCGAACTCATGAACCGCAGATTACTAATAATCCCCAACAAGAGTAAGGCAATGCTCCTGTGCTTTTCAACATGGAGTGACTTCACCTGAAGGATGGATTTTTCACTGAAACTTGATATTTATTAGTCCTCATTCTTGGTGTTCAGTGTGACGGAAGGAATTCAAAGCTCACAGGGAAAATCCGAGACTTGTTTGGTTGGTGTCACAAACTCAGTTGCTGCGATCATCTCGCCGTCTCTGCTGAATCCTATCACGTGGCAGCTACTCTGAGGCGCATTCACAAGATCTCTGGCAGCACCTGGGAACACTTTGCACGTTGGCCTAGCGAGTCCCCGTATCGTTCTCCATCTGGCACACCAACACATTATTGATACTTCATTGCTGCACAACCACAGAAAGTTTGTCCTACAAAACCTCAGACTAAAACAAGAAACGGTGCCCACAGATGTGAACAGCTGATCGTCAAATTGAAGTTGGAACTGGGAGCAAATATCAGTGCCGTGGCTTGCGACCAACCCGGCGAAGTGCAAAAAATGTCACGAGAATCCTATTGCGAAGCGTCGATCGGGCTCTGCACCGAGGGTTGTGCGACTGCGAGAGAAAAACATGTGGGGGATGAGCACTATTCTTGTTGTTGATGGATGATTCAACATGCTCATTGAATAGTCTGCGTTCACTAAATGTTATGGTGTTTCCACGCTTGCATCAGCTGACTAAGGTTATACAATCCATTGTTTGAACCGGTCTGGATGTTGGATCCGCACGATGGCATTTTTTTTTAGCTAATTTGAAGGCTGTCTGAAATAAAGAGACTGTTGTCTTATAATTGTGAGGCGACCCATGTGGGCGCCTGATTCGTAGTGTCTTGGTGATTTTGATCATCGGTGTAACGAATGATTGGAAAACGGGTGTTAGGCTTTGCAGGGCCGCACCATTAATTGTGATGTCTCGGACTTGTGGCACGCATGCCAAATTACCCTTGTTCTCCGTGTCTGCTATCGAATGACGAAACCTGGAGATGGAGAACGTATGACAAGAGAGAGAGCTGACAGTATGAAACGGGTTGCGAAGAAGGGTATCCCCATAAACTCTGTTTCGGTGAAGTCGTTGCCCAATATTGCTTAACGAATGTCGCATGGCTTTTGGAAATGAGAGCATCTCAAAATGTTTGACGTAGGCTTATTTCACATCCGTTCCCTATCCGCTATTTCCCGTTTTCACTTGTGAATATAATTAAATAAAGTGTAAGATTGAACGACAGTCGGACGTCAGTGTAAGCCGAAATCGATGTTTATCTGCCGATACGCTGTTGCATGATTACTGTTCACCAGTTTCCAGACCACGCGAAATTGGGCGAAAACCAGTCACACCCGGTGAATCACCTGTCGCTTGTGATTGTATTTGTTTAAAGACGAAAACGTGGGACGACTGCTGTCTAAGTGTTAGCAGAGGTTGATGTCAATTAACTTGTCTTGAGCAAGTCATATTTGAAAACAACTCTGATGTGGTCGCTTGTGAGAATCGAGAGAAAGGCGGTCGTGTTTTTCTTTCTTTTTTGCTGAGGTGCAGGCTGTTTTTGTCTCATCTATCTCTGGATGTCGTAAAACTTCTTGTGGCCATGATCAACTATGATCATCGGTTACTTTGCACTTCGTCGCACCGGCACAACCAATTAGAGCAGAGTTGATTTCAAGCATGTCAGGACAGGGGCTCGTGCGTGTCTAGGGGGTTTCGAACTAAAATAACCAGTCATTTGAGGTTTCCTATGCTACATTGTTTTCTTATCACAAATTATGAAATTCATACTCAGCGTGCGCATCTGTCCCTGTAGACCCGGTCGCTGATCTCATGCAAGCAGTACGGTTTTGTTGAAAAAATTATTTTCGGACCTTGTGTGAGCAAACTCACCAGTTATGAAAAATATTTTCCCGATTCCTGAGAATGACCAGGAGGTACATTTTTTCGAAGATGTTATCTCTGTTTCAGGTGTCACACTCAGAGTTGCTTAAAAGTTTGGTCCAAGACTTGGTTTTGACTGTTAGTAGTCCCCAACTCCGCTTTATCTCTCTCCCGCAGGTATTCTATTCTCGACCGAGCACACGTCAACCACCATTCGATTCGTGGTTCAACACCGCCGTTCTCTACCACGAGCCGTCGCCACAATTTAATGATACAGTGAGTCCGGTCTGTTGGCTCTTAGTTCCGCCTTTTTTTGTTCGTTTTCCATCTATCTATTTTATCCAGCACGAAATGCGATGAACAGTTTCTCTCGTCAGAATTTGGACCCCATATCGGTTTTTTGTTGCTCCACGCCCAGTTCTTCTCCTACTTCAAGTGTGCTGGTTGCCGCTATTCGCCGATAGATGAATCTCTCATGGACTTGGTTCATTTGGCTTTTGTGGTTTTTTTGTGGGGTCGTATACTTCCCACTCTAAAGTCGTTTCTGTTCGTCGAATTACTGGGTAATCAGATTGATATGAGGCTAACGATTCTATGGCATGCACAGTCCAATGAAGTGTTTTTTCCAAACTGTGAAGCAGCATTATTTGCTCTGCTTAAAATGCGTTTCAGTTCTCGGGCAATACTGTTCGCCTATGCATCGTGTATGTGTGTGGGCCAAAGTGGTAGATTCGATAGCCAGTACAATAGTAAGGTTGAGGTTGGGGCCACTGGATGTGGTGAAGTCGATCGCAAACTTACAAAAATCCCACATAAACCTGGAGAGTAAAACAGTTTTACGACGCCTATGGTAGGTGAACTCACACATCATCAGTGTGTGAATAGTTTCACTCTTGAATAAAAGAGTTTCCCTTCAAGAAAACAAATTCCCAACGTTTCATGGGACTTCTCAGACTGACACACGTTTGTAGCTTTTCATAAAACCTTCAACCAAGTGTTTCCCCACCCTCTGATTTTCACGTCTGTCGCATCGTTGTTCGCGTTCGTAAATACTAGTTTAGTCGTGTCGCTCGCCCGGAAACTGAATTCGAGTTTCCCCTTCGAACTGAGATTTGCACAGACCAATTTGTTGGGTTAACAATGCGCCATGGCAAACCCAGCCTTCATCATTTTGGCGATCTACTTCGAATTGTCAGGATTGTCACTCGACTGACTCAGGTGTCCGTCGAGATGGGTACAACGCATACCGGAGAGTGTTCCTGTAGAGCAGTTAAACGCAGAAGTTGTTCAACGCTTTCTGTCCTAACTAAAGATCTCCCTGAACGCAGCTCAACTGCATCTGTCCGCGTGATAAATTTTGGTTTCCAACTTAATTGGTCCGGTCCTTGAAAGTTGAACTTGGTGAAAAGTACGATCCCCTTACAATTTTTTATGCCACATCTCTGTCTGCCGAACGTACACGTTGTTGTGTCCTATGATAACTTAATAATTGGGGGATTCCTCATGTCTAACTGACCAAAGGCGCTTCCAGCCAACAGTCATCTCATCATCATCGACAGCATGACATCAGTGTTCAACACCGATGCTTCACTGCCGTACAATTATGATTTATTTGAAAGCCTTATTGTAGAGAAAAGAGTAAAGTTGGCCGGGGAAGGGACTTGGTGCTGGCTTACCACAATCATTCCGAGGGTGCCTATACCTCCGGACACTCACTCAGGCAATCTGGATAGAAAATGACAACAAGAACGCCACTGACATCGGTTGGCAGCCATATCTTGTAGTGCCTCCAACCAGGCACAGTGAGAATCACGCGGTCCCCATCCTGGAAGGCGAGTAGCACGACAGCACCCAAACGTTTCATGGTTTCTTTCATACCTCTCTGCCAAGTCAAGAATTGGTCACCTCTCTGCTTACGCCACTCTGAACTGGGCACGGAAAACAGCACTCTCTTCGGCAAACGATGGTTCGGCATTCGCAACACATGTCCCAACCAACGTAGCTTCTGGTGCTGGGCACATTCTTCAATGTTAGTTCCCGTTGCACAACCGAAAACTCGATTTCTAACTGCCTCATTACGGATTCGCCGACACCAACCCACACAACCTATGGTTCTAGAACACCTGAGGACGCCTCAGTTCCGCTGCTCGAATAGGCCAACACTCTTGACGCGACCCGAGCCTTGCAGATTCGTGCATTCACCTCTTCTGTCACATTACAATCAGAACTAATACAACTTCCAAGATACGTAAAACGCTCCACAACTTCCAGTGCCTCTCCCTGGATCGTAAGTGGCGTGTTCAGTGACTGCATGTCCTCGAGCGTGACCTTACACTTTGTGGGTGCAAAGTGCATACCAAAGGACGGGATGACTTTGGTCAGTTCATCCCAAAACACCTGCGTCTTCTCCGCCTCTTCTAACAAGAGAACGATATCGTCTGCATATTCCTGATCGACAAGACTTTCGTTGCCTTCATCCAGCTTTTCTCAGATTTTGTCCACCTTTCTTTGAAATCTTGTACTATAGTCAGTCCCTTTTGAGTTTGCACCCAACTCATCCTCACCTCTTCTGTTAGTTCACGGAAGTTGTAGACATCAAGTGCATTCTTCGGCAATCACCAACATTCTTCAATCTCTCTCACAAATTCCAAGGTGGTTTCTCATGTCCCTAGGCGTTTTCCTTGCAGAAAAATGTTGGACATGAACAGCTAAGCTGATAAAAATGAATAATTGAACAGTGTTCGATCAAGTGTCACTTCTGTCGGTATGGTTGGTTTATTTTCAGTCACAAAAAACTTCATTTTCGACGTATAAGGGTGGTGGTCCCAATGAGAAATAACAATCTGGTTATTCGCCCCTCGCCCCAGTGCCAATTTTCGTTTGATCACTCTGTTTCCACTCGAGGTCTGTACTTTTAGTCAACCATCTTTCTCTGAATCCAACTTCCGAAGGTTCCTGTTCACCTGGATCCTGAAGGAATTCGTTCTGTACACCGTAAATCCTGCTTTTGTCCACGCCCTCATGTGTCCCATTGAAGTCGTTTCCTTTTGAACGTTAGTACTTCATACCTTTGCTGACGCCTTTGGGAACTCTCACGAAAGGGAAGTCTTTTCTGGGCGTATTTCTCGCAGTAGTGTAAAATCTGGTTGCACACGCATCTACGAGCTGTTAGTTGTCGGTTATCGCTGCGCTTTTGACAAACTACAACCATTTTGCAATTGAGGTTTTTGCCATGACCGTCATAGAATATCTCTGCTGTGCATTCCACTTTAACTCCATGGACAGAACGGCATGCTGTATACTCGTTTCACCAACTGTTTGCGATCGATTGAGACATGCCATTGATCCGTTTCTTGTCATAGAGGTGAATTTCACAACCACAGTGACTAGATCGCAGTTACAACGATATTTTATCGTTGATTTTCAAAGAGCATGGTCACAGACATAAAAAACTGAATGCAAGCGATGAATGCGAAAGGGGAACAGGAGAATATTAGGTAAAAAAGAGAAGCGTCCCACCACAGTTCCAGTCAGATAAGATGAATCCCAACGTATGTAAGGATTACCATGGAAACACGTGTGTAAAGGCCAACAACCGAGGAAAGGACAAACTATGTTGAATGATTTCATGAAGAAAACTACTCACAAGGTTGCTGAAAACTCTTCGACAGCCCACCGCTGGTTTCGCCCTTGGAGCTCATCAGGTAGGTGCAGTCCCCGAGTTTCCGTCAATCGTGGTCAAGACTCACACCTCAGGCACACAAAGTGTCCGTCATACTGGGTCTGGTGTGAGATTAAATGGCAAAAATGTACATTCAACGCCATCTGACACGTATAAAAGTGTCGTAAGTAGGCAGAGAGCCCACAGTGTCAAGCAAACACTGTGACCTTAGGAAGTCCCAGTCCAATAACAGCCTTGGCGGAGTGAGGAAAGCAAATCTCTCGATAAGAGATGATCATCGGTCGCAAAGTACCTATTCTGGATGGATGAGAGTGGATACCAATTCATTTCACACTTGTCTTTGTTTTGAATCGATTGTGCACTGGGACCCGTAAGCGAGTACGGCTCTCTGAGTGATGGAAAATGTTTGCGCATCCACGGTCTAGGTGCTATCATTTTTGGTGACAATAACAATACTGGGAATAATAGTTGTCCATTTTGGTGCTCAGCTACCACGCCACTCACAGGTAGCTAAAAGGTCTGATATACTGCCAGGTCGCCAAAGCCTAGACGTGGGCAGCCGAGATGCCGGGGTAGGGTTCGAACCACGGACCTTCCGGTCGTTAAGGTCGTGCGTGAGCTTTCTCGAGTTCAGTGTTCTAGTGTTAAGAGCGATTGTGTTAATAGGTGTCGTATAAGCAGCTTGAGGTTTAGGGTGTGATGCGGAACTCAGTGAGGATAAGTTTGTCTCCAATGGCCCATTGAATTTCATTAGAACTTTGACATCAAGAATCCACGCATGTAATGGAGTCCGAAAGCCCGTCGTGTGCTTGTTGGTTGAAATCACGTCAACAAAGGACCTAAAATGGACCCTAGAGAGACTAGTGATTGTGGTCACTCGAGCACCGATCAGCGGACAAGAATAGGAGTGAGCGAAGCTCGAAGGTCCCGACCAACCAAGACGCAGGATAACGGACCAACCAATAGAACCGCCTGGCCGAACTGCCGATCGAATGTCAGTCCCGGCTAACAGCACACAATATTAAAACACAACCGCTGACATACCGGTCCACTCCGCGCCTTAGCAGCCAGCTGTTGATGTCACCTCGATTTTTGAAATTTCCCAACTCAGCGAACAAGCCAACGACCCGGCGTCTTTGCTTGATGCTATTCTTTCGTTTACGTTTACTCTGAAAGTTGCCAATTCCAGAAACCTATGCTTACAGCTTGTTGCTAAAGTAGATCGTTGTCTATTGACCATATGGTTGTCAGTCAAAGTAACCTTACCAATAAACTTTTATCGGTCATCTATTTTGATCCGATCTTGATTTGACCCAGAAATATGAAACCAGACTTGCTGGAATCGGTCGGATCAAGGTTTTTGGGTTTGCGCATTTTTGTCCAGCGTGATGTGGTAAGCTGAAACTTGGAATCTTCGTGCATATCCTCACTTGTTTTACTCCAACCTGTGCGAGTTTTTTCTTGTACATGAGATCATCGCCTCGTCGGAGCTGAGCATTCACCAGTACTTAATTCTGCGAGCGTATTATTCGTGGCACAGCACTGGCGATTTTTCCAAATTTACAGATCATACAAGTTTCGTGGGGGGGGGGGTCTCTGTCCTGTGAATTCATCGGCTGACTAGGTTTCGAGTGCAGTAAGGGGTAGGTAAGATTGCATGGAGTTCCTGGCCTTTTGATTCTTGCTGACCTTTGCACCACGAGGTGTTGGAGACATTGATCAACGTTACTATTTTTACCCTTGCTGAGTGCTTATCATCCTCGACTAGTCCAATTCGATTTGCTTATCTCACGTATCGCATTGTCTTCAGCACACTGTGTTATTGACCAAACGCGCAACACGTTCTCGACCTATCATAATCACTGGCCACACTCGTCCGTGTGCATACGTTCAGTTCACATCTCTTCTACTCCCTTATCCCCCAGGCCAAGGTATCCCTTCCGCTCCATCTAACTCCGCAGCATCATCTCCTTTTCCGGTTCTACCATGTCAGTGTGGTCACTGCCGGTGGACTCAGCTCCAAAGAGCGTCCCTCGAGTAAAAAGCCCCTGGAATCTAGTGTGGGTTTCGCATGGCTCCCCATACTGGGTACCGATGGAAAGTGAGTTTGTCTGCACATTTACAGAGTATATTGGTCTCTTGTGGTTTCTTGGTTGATGGTACTCTCTCCTTTTTTCCTGGATCTTCGACCACACCTCCCCGACAAAAGGTCGGATTCCTGTTTTTGTTGGCGTTAACATTGGGACAAAAGCTGAACGTCCAGCTGCCCATTTCTGCGGCAATGGCACCTCATTTTTCCGACCGTTTTCACTCGTCGGCGATGTCTCTCTAGTTTTTCCTGTTCACCGTCCTGGTTTCCTGTTGCAGTCGAGCCGACAGTGTACTCAGGTTCAGAATTCTTACGTTGATCATTTGGTTTGAAGAACCTTGGCACTTGGAGAACGCATTCACGAATCTTGAGAAAGTTGTTCAGTTGGAAACGTTTTTTTGCGGAGAACTGCGGCGCGCTGAGCTGAATAACCGCCACTGTTGTTCTGTACAAGGTAATCACGACGACAGACTGGAAGGTACACACATGCTTTGTTTGATGGCCTATCGGTACTCTGTATGAGGTTATCTGTAACAGGGTGAAGAAATCTAAGTTGACGCTTGATTCGTACTTGACACCTGAAGACCGAATATGGTGTGACTGATCTAAATGTCATCCGACAGACCTCTGTTTCACCAGATGCTTTCATTTTGTTCGTAAAATTACCCGTTTTCTTCCTTCATACAGCCTGAACACCGGCAACTTTCAGTTACCTATCTCGAGCGATCTTCCACCTGGTTATCTGAAGTTCTCTTCGTCTCCGGTAAGTAGCCCCGCTTCTAAGCCATTCTATACACATCCTTGGACAAATTCATGTAGGTAACTTAGGGGTCGCCACGAAAAAAATCTACTCTCCGCAATCAACTGCGTATCGACCAGCTTAAACCTTGCTAAATCAGCGCGCGCGATGATTTGCCTCTATATGTTGCTTTGCGCAGATTCGTGTCATTATTTGAGTACGCATAGTTTTGATTAGAGCATGGTGATCAGCGTTATCTGTGCAGCTATTCTCACGGTTATTTTGATCAAATCCTCATCGGTTCTTTGATAGCTTCTTCAACAGAATTATCTGCTGAATAGGGCTCCGAATTTTGAACAGATACATCTCGATTCTTCTGTTACACTCGTTTGTTTGACTTCCTTTGGTCAAGCTGTCAGGAGAATCAGTGATTGCTTTCGTTTTATCGATCGCACACTCAATAGATACACTGTTCTACTGTCGCGCTCGCATTATGTACTAATCAATTTGGGGTACTGTAAAATGTCAGTGCTAAGGTTTTCTCGGTCTTTCTCGGTTTGCACAGGGTCGGATTGCTTCTGTCACCTAGTCACTATCTGGTATTGGTGCGTGTGTGTGTTTACACGTTTAAACGTTTCACAAATTATGGTGTGTAGATGGATACTGCTTGTCACCAGTTCTTCTAATTTGTACTGTTTAACAGTAGAGGAGCGCTGAGCTTCATCCTCTTGGAGATTCCTGATAGACTTTTACCACCGGTCACGGCGATTCTCTGGGCGTGAAACTGCTACCGGGAGTTATGCCTTTGAGAATAAGGAAGTTGTTAAACCTCACTTCTCCCACATTCTCACAGCTAGTGAGGCTCTGAATCTCATTTCGGTTGAATAAAGTGTTATTTTTACCCTTATCAGGGGACCATCGGTGGTGTGTACAGGGACTGGAACCACGATGGGCTACTACCCACCCCAACAACGCACGCTGAATGCACTTGAATCGTTAATTCTCTCCAGGTGACTTCTCTGTACTTATGTGACATTTCGGGCTTGCCGAACGCTTCTAACGGCGGCCTCTAACCTCGTCCGTCAAGACTGGCTAATCAGCAAAACGACAATGTGATGACTGGTATTCATCAGAAAGTCCGATGCCCATTCCTGTTCATTCAAGAATGTGAGGTTTGATCGATATCTGTATATTATTGTACCAGGCCATCATGTGTCCGGTTCTCAGTCTAATCTACCCCCGCCCGCCGGATGCCTTTTGCCATCTGCTATGGGGCCACTGAACAGCATACAGCCCGCTTTTCTCATTCGCTGAACGTCAAAGAGGACACCTGTTCTCATCGATCGTCAGCGACAAACGGGTTTTCTTTCGTTCTTTAGGTTGTCTATGCGATCACCTTGTTCTTCCTGTGTATTTTTGGGCGCAAATCGATTGCGTAAGCCGATACGTGTTCATTTTGAGCGCGAGCGCACTAGGTTTAAAGAAAATATTCCATCCATTTCGGGATATGGTGAACTTTGCAAACCCCCCACTTTTGGGTCGCCCCTTCCTGGGTTTCGCTAACCTGGTCCTTCCCCTATGCCCTGAGATTGATGACCTAATCTTGACAGTGCTTTTTTCTTATTTCCCTTATATATTACGGATATGAATTGAAGAAAACGGTTTTTCTTTCGATTGGTTCTATGTACACCGCGGACCACATAAAATAGACCGTTCTCCTCTTTCACACACACAGCAGGCAAGAGGATCCCTCCACACTTCATCTCCTGTCGGCACCGGTTCAGACTTGGGAGTGAACTGGTTGGAGAACGGTAAACCCCTGTTCACGGTTCAATTGGATTGTCTCTCCTCGGTCTACACACATGACGCCGTCTTATCGCGTTTCTTTCGTACCTGCGGTGAACTACTTCCTCGTATTTGGACCCTTCCGGTCGGTTCTGCTTCTGTGGCCGCTGCCACAGCTGGTTCCAAGTCCAAGGTTAGTGCTGGTCAACAGTTCACACGCCTTAGCCAACAGTCGAGTTGCTTTTCAGAAGGAAAAACGCTACTCTCAGTTTTGGTACAATTGAAAGATCCCCTGCCGTTGAAAGGACTAGGGACTGTGTGTATAAAATTATCTGCAACGATAGGTCTATATAGGACAAACTGCCAGGGAATAGCATGCCAGAATTGGTGAGCATAAAAGAAGGATAAACAAACCACCAAGGAATGCAGAAGAATAGCAAATGCTGGTCAAAGACTCAGCGATGGCGGTACATGCCCTAGACACGGGACTTAGTATAGATCTGGAGAATGTGGAAGTCTTAAGACGGGGACTGCGATTCACACAACAACGGCTGATAGCCGAGGCGGTGGAAATCACTAAGCATCACAGCGTGAATAGAATCGAGGGTGTGGAGCTAGCGAGCGTATGGAAAGCGGTCTTAGATAAGCCGAGTTGACACGTGACGGTGTGGTTGTCAATCCACTTAGGATCATTAGAAAAACCGGGAGGTGGGGGTGGAAGTCCCACCCCGACCGAAGGTCACAGCTCCTCTACACAGACGGACAGAAGGTTCAAACGACGTTCAAGGGGGACCATCAAATGAATCGAACCAGAAGAACTAGGCCCTAGGCTGGACCCAAACACATGTAGGTTCCCCTACCGAACCAACACTTGTTCAATCGCTCTAACAGAAAAATCCCTCGGCCGACACCCAACAGAGATTTCGCTTGACTTAGCTGATTGGTTCTCCTTCCGGCTTAAATCTTCACCAACCTCGGAACCTAATCACTTGGCCTAACGAAGCTTTTTTGTCAAAAGCGAAACGTTGCCCAGCAATAAATCTATCGATTGTCACCAATCTTTCTCGAAAGCGTAGTTCATACTCCCGTTAATTCCAAAAAATCTGCTTTTATCCACCTTAACTGTGATTGCAGATTATCATTGTCATACGCCTTTCCCATTTTCTTATGTCCGTCCGAGTGGAGCGTTCAGGATTGCCACAAAGCAAGCTAACTGTACCGCACTACACTAGTGCCCTTAATTTCTGTTCGGTTTTTTTTTGAATGAAGTTAGCCCTTCAAAACGCCGAGAAATCATAATTCAGTAATGCTTTCAAATAGTACGGGTCGAAATTCAGTGACCGGTTCTCGGTGGCATAACCCACTTATCTTCGGTTTGATACTCTTTTCATTCACCCAGTTGCGTCGGCTGAAGCGCGGATTTTTTTGCATTCTAACCTCGCAATTTCATCTCAGGACTATAAAGTCTACACTCCCTGCTCCGTCTGTTTAATGTCTCTCAAAAACGTCGAAATCCAGACTCGAGCGATGGAATGAAAACGAACTGTGATTCACAAACTTTTGTGTTTGTTTGGTGCACCGTGATTCTTTGTCTGCATGTTTTTTTATCGGGGCACAACCTTGTACCCGTCTCGTGTAAGGATCCCCGAGTATAGCTGGTGCTATGGATGGTCCTATCTACGAACGTAGGTGCAAGACAAAGAGTGTTTTTGGCAAACTAACTCCCGTGTGCACCCCGCACCATCACCTCAAGCAGTTCCAAACATGCCCGTATTAGCATTGATTGGTTTGGTGAGTAACCAAGCATGACAGGTGTGTGTGTGTGTGTGCGTGTATGTGCGTACGTCTATATTAGACACTTCTCGTTCCACTTCGCAGATGCTCTTTGTTCCAATACGCTCACGTGATTACATTCACCGATGTTCGCTTTTTCACTTTGTT